TTATGTTGCTCTTCTTCATATCTATCTTGATTATATTTTCTTCTTATGAGATCAAATTTCTTGTTAAACATTGTTAGGACTCTTGTCAATCATACAAATAAATCTCTATTTATGAGTAACAAAACTGTAGGAGCAGCTAGACTAGGACATCTTCCATTATAAATCATGCTTACAACAATTGTAAAACATGCTAGCAACACAATAAACATCCTTCTGACACTGACATTATCAACATGCTAATTAAAGCTAACAAAATGATAACCATGCTAACCAGTTGCTAACCAAATGTAAAATACGTTCATCCTAGCAACATTGCTAAACGCATGCTAGCACAGTTAACAGATGTTACAATTGCTAGAAAAGGTTTACTGTAAACGTTAAAAAGTGATTTATTAATACTTACATGCTACAAAATTCTCCATGTTTTAAGTATATTAGAAACATGCTAGTATTAAAACATGCTAAACCAATATTAAAGTGTTAGCCATACATGTGATAAAAATATTTATTCATATGTGATCTATTTATGTGTATCAAAACTATGCAGCTAGACTAGGACATCTTCCATTATAAATCATGCTAACAACAATTTGAAACAAGCTAGCAACACAATAAACATCCATCTGACACTGACATTATCAACATGCTACTTAAAGCTAACAAAATGATAATCAGGCTAACCAGTTGCTAACCAAATGTTAAATATGTTAGTAACATAATCCTAGTAACATTGTTAAACGCAAGCTAGCACAGTAATGTAACAATTGCTAGAAAAAAGGTTGAATGCTATAATGCTATAAAGTGGTTAATTAATGCTTACGTCACAACATTAGCCATGTATATGTTAAAACATGCTAAATAATGTGAACAATATTAAAATGTTATAAACCATGCATATTATAAATCATGCTAACAACATGTAAAACATGCTAGTAACAGTCAACATCCTACAGACATTGTCAACATGCTAATTAAAGCTAACAAAAAGATAACCATGGTAGAAACATGTTTACAGCATGCATGCTAACAAAATGCTAAATATTATGTTAGCAACATCATCCTAGTAACGTTGCTAAAAGCATGCTAGCACAGTTAGCAGATGTTAGAAGAAAAAGGTTAATGTAAATGCTACAAACTGTTTCATTAATGCTTACATGCTACAACATTAGCCATGTGTTAAGCATATTAGAAATATGCTAGTATATGTTACAACCTGCTAAATAGTGTTAAAAAATATAGTTAGCATGCTAATTAAAGCCTAAAAAAAGAAAACCATGTCGATACTCATGTGTGCTAACGCAATGCTAAATATGTTAGCATTAGCAGCAGCATATAATGCAACATTGAACTGGAAGTTGCTGAGACTTTTATACCAGTATGTTAATGTACTTCCAACTGAAACAGAATATTGAGTAGGGGGTGTGGCTTTCTTTTGAGCAAACTAACAGTAAGAGAGTATGCAGTTGCTATGGAAATTATCGGGTTGACGTCAACAAAAGGACCGCCACTATGAATGCAGAAGCAATTCTCAGACTTTGATTGAAGATTACTAAATCAAACACATGTTTTCAGTGGATTAACTTACACAGATTCATAATAACAATGTGAGCTAGCAAAATAACAACAAAAGTTGAGATGAAAGCTTACAGTGACCCAAACATATTTTGACATTAGCACTTTTCTTCTAGTTATTTGCCTATACGGGCTAATACATCAAAAGTGACCCAGTCAAAATACTTTCACGCTGAAAAATGAGGTGGATTGTATATGTTTGTGCTTGTTTGTGCATGTGCATGTGTGTGTCTTCCCATCATTTTGTGCACAACAGAAGCCATTTCCTTCATAAACGTTCTTCCTCCCTTCAATTCAAGTCTAAGATTACAAGAGAGCATAGCTGAAAAGAAAAAATGATGCAAATTGCCACTCTTTTCATGATGAGAACAATAAAAATACCATATTTTGAATGGCTGAATTATGGGTCTGCCAACCTCAGAGGACATGCAAAACACGAACACCCACTCACACGCTTAAAACAGACAGACAGACGGACTCCAGGGCATAATTTCCTCACAATAACATCCTAATTAACCTCTATCAAACAGAGATGCTTACTGGAGAACAAGACGACTGTGGTGTTTGGGAATAGATTGGCAGCTGTTGGGTTTTAAACACTTACCTGTGCTTATTATCATATCAGGCCAGAATCAGGCCAGCTGTGATTTGTGCCTGATTGAATGGAGGTAATTTGAGATTTCAGCTGGACTCGGTCACTATTTGACCAATTTAGATGCCAGCTTACGTCCACATCCTGAAAAATGTGGCATGCTGGACTGGTCAGTGGAATTTCCTGCAACTGGCCTAGAAACCACACAAATAAAAAGGTTTTGTTTTGTTTCTAGTCCAAATATCTAAAAAAATTTAAATGAAGAAGCATTCACTAGACAAGCTAAACATTGTCTTGTTTTCAAAAATAATAAGTTAAAATTAAGTCAGTTTTTCCATAAAACAAGCTAAATATTCTGCCAATGGGGCAAACAAAACTCAAAAACTCTTAAGTAAGAAAATCATTTTTACAGTGGTGAAAATTGACTCGTGTAGTACTTCAAGAGTTCACACTTAGCTGATGATTGATTATAAGCGGGTTTGGCATGCTGTCCCGGGAGAGAGCCCTGAGCCCAAAAGGTCCTTGAGCTCTGGGCTCCCTCCCGTTTGCAGGGCGAGAGGGGAGCTTTGAGCTCAGGTAGATCTCGACAACTCCCCCTTGATAAGAACTGATGACTAAAATTTGAATGCTGTGAAGAGATATGCTGCAGGATGAGAGATTGACTGTGGTGCAAAATTTAGATTGTTCAATTCACTTGTTGTGCATGTTTTTGGAATGTGGGAGGAAACTGGAGGACCCGGAGAAAACCCACGCAAGCATGCGAAGAACATGCAAACTACACACAGAAACGACCACCGGCCTGTTAAAAGACTAGAACCGGTGACATTCTTGCTGTGAGGCAACAGTGCTAACCACTGGGCCACCGTGCCGCCCTATGGAGGGAAAGGTGAAGAGGTAGGGGTGGAAGGGGGGATTCTTCAAATCGAAGACTGTAGTGAGAAACCCTGGCTCTTTATAGTAGGTTAGGAATGGCCTGATTGGTGGATCATGCATGCTAATGCAGAACCAGCTGTGTTCAATCATAATCACGTGATCCTCTCGAAATTAGTTTATGAATAAACTTCACTTAAGCAGGTTAATAATAAACAGACAGACAAAACAATGGCCACAAAACACAGCAAGGTTTCAGGAGATGCTCAAAGAGCATCTTAATGCAGGAGATAATTCCATACAATTATTATTTTGTGTTTATTTACAGGACACAGCTCCTTTGCCAACATGCAGTGACTGACATTGTGCTAACAACAGCACAGTTTTGGCATCTTGCAAATTTTGCATCATTTATTTTTGACCTAAGTAATATTTTAGTGAAGATTTTCAAACATATTCTGACAAAGCACAACGGGCTCTATTTTGACGATCCATGCACAAAGTCTAAAGCACAGGGCGCAAAAGCATTAAGGGCGTGTCAGAATCCACTTTTACTATTTAAGGGATGGAAAAATCCGCTTTGCGCCGTGGCGCATGGTCTAACAGGGTTGAGCTTGTTCTCTTAATGAGTTATAGGTGTGTTTTGAGAATAAACCAATCAGAGTCTCATCTCCCATTCCCTTTAAGTTGTGTCACGCCATAGTGTGTTTGCTATTTACATGACGGACTTCGTAAGTGGAATAACTGAACGCTTCACTAGAGAGAAAACAGTTAAACAGAGCATGTACAGCTCCAGAATGAGAGATGAGCCTCCTCATTATTTACTTTCACTTCTCATTGATAGGGAAACTTCTTGTACGCACAGAGATCCATTAGCCTATAAATAATTAAGTTTGTTTGTTAAGCGCAGATTTGTTTCAAAACTTTTTTTAAATTCAGTTCTAATTTCCAGCAAACGAATAAATGAACAATAATAACGAAGTGTGCTCAAACAACTTATATTTTGGGAGGAACGCCTAATACTACCTGCGACCCGTTTGTGTTCTGACCACATGGTTGTACACTACATCAATAAAGTGTTTCGACTTTTAAAAACAATGTTGTAATACATTGAGTCACTAAGCATTGCTCTTATGATGCTTTTCTACCAGAGGAAAACGTGAATTACTTCAAAACTCTTTAAATATAGTCTGTGTTAGTAAACATAAAGCTATTGATGAAATCCAGGCATAACACTGTATGACAACGCATCAGATGACTGTTCGAGAGCCAACAGCTAATCAATCTGTCAGATTTTGGAGTGCTTTACAGGTCTAAAGAACATTATAAAGGATCTTAAATAAAACAAATACATGTATGGAGAAGGTATATAAGTATATAATTTTACTCACCTTGGAAATGGAGGCAACTTGAACGGTTTGTGAGCACAAAAAAAAAGTGCACACAGCATGCCATATCATCTGATAATTGCAGGAAATAATTCTGCAACTGACTGTGTAAAGCCACATAAAACATAACAAAAATACAATGTATATGCCAAGCTCAGCAGGTTATCAGCCGGAATCAGCTGAAGTGACGAGACAGCGAGCAGCGAGGCCTAGCTGTCTCTCAAGTGGCTGCACCCTTAATTATGGAGACTTAATATCTTAATATAACCTAATATAAATTAAACGGATGAGTTATAAAAAAAATTCACCCCCTCACAGTTGTCATGAAAGGCAGTATTAGCTATATGACGCAAAGCCATCTTTTGTACCAGGCTGTAAACATGTTTTTATCAGCTGTAAAATTGGCCAATTTACCATTGCAGTCAGTAATCATTTGGATTTTCTGGAGCCAGCCCCCAAAGGCAAATCAATGAATTGCAGTTTTAGTTACTTCCGTATTACCTTTCCAAGGAGAGCATGAGGTTGCCGCTTGGTTGCCACCTCCACTTTTTAGAAGTGATTTTTATTCCCTTAACTGTTACTGTCCCACAGATGAGATGTTTTCCAGTACATATTTAATAATTAAAAAATACAATATGAACACAATAAGTTCATTCAGTGTTCCATGCTCTTGGAATGATCTTCAAATTCCCACATGGACTGCAAACGACAACTAAAACTAAAAACCCATCTCTTACGACATCACCTGAGCCCTTGTGAACAAACCCTCTCTCTCCCCTTTAACCAATGAATGAGGTTGCAGCATTTTATTTAAATGACATAAACAGCCACCAAGAACATGTTATGAACATGTGAATTACTAGTTTTACAGTTTTTATGCATGATTCACAATTGCTTGTGTGTGTTTTTCTGTGTACAGTTTGCGTAACGGTGATTTGCATGAATGTTTTCATGTGTGTATGTGTAAATGTAATCCTATTTATCTGTGTGTTCTTATGTTAGCATAGCCGCATATGGAGGAGTTAGCTGGTTAAAATGCATGATGCCGCAAACGCATGTTTGTGTTTGAGGTCTGTCTCTGTCTCTGTCTTTCTCGAATCTTGTGCTCATTCTATCATCTTTGTCATACATAGATGTTGTTTGTGTCAGAGCGGTGTTGCTATTACTCTATGGCTAAGCAGAAAGAGATGTTGCTAATTATTCTCTACCGTATTCAGTGTGTGATGAAACCATTTTAATGATATTTTCAGCAGTTAACATCTCAACACTGTCTGCTATATTTTTCAATGGGTTTCCTGTGTCAGTGCTGGATTAGAAACTGGCCAAACTAGGTAGCTGAGCTACCCTGGTGATCATAATACATACTGCGTTTGGAAGAAGTGTTGCATCAGGACCGATTCTGTGATGCATGCAACCATAAATGCCTGTTTAAATATCCTGATTGTGGTAGTTTTCACCCCATTAACAACAACATGCTTTTGGGTTTGTAAGAGTGAAAATAGTAATAGTAGATACTAGTTTAAATAACTCATTTTTAATAACTAATTTCTTTTATCTTTGCCATGATGACAGTAAATAATATTTGACCAGATATTTTTCAAGACACTAGTATTCAGATTAAAGTGACATTAAAAGGTTTAACTAGGGTAATTAGGTGAGTCGCTGTGTAACAGTGGTTTGTTCTTTAGACAATTAAAAACAAATATTGATTAAAGATGCTAATAATAATTACTTTAAGATCAAATAAAATAAAAAAACTGCTTTTATTGTAGCTGAAATTAAGCAAATGATACTTTCTCCAGAGGAAAAAATATTATAGGAAATACTGTGAAAAATGCCTTGCTCTGTTAAAATTCATATATGTTATAAAGAAAAAATTATTTACAGGAGGGGGACTAATTTTGACTTCAACTGAACACTCTCAGAAATAAAGGTGAGCTGTCACTGGGGTGGTACCTTTTGAAAAGGTATAAATTTGTACCTAAAAGGTCCTAATTATTACCTTTAGGGTGGATATTAGTACCTAAAAAGTACAAAAAAGTTCCTCCTAATCTTTTTAGGTACTAATATATACGTTTGCGGTACCAATATGAACACTTTAAGTACAAAGTGCAGACAAAAGTGAAAAGGGCAGGGGGATGGGTGTTGTTGCAGACGAAAGTGAAAAGGGGTGGGGGTGGGGGATTGATGGGTTTGGGTAGTGTGTTGTCGTGAATAGCGGGGGGTGGTAGGGTGCATTGTCTCGGACAAAAGTGAAGACAGGGGGTGATATGGGTTTGTTGTTGTTTTGGCCCCTTATAATATTGGCCCCCAAGCCCCTGTACATAGGCATTCAGTGGAAAAACCTCTACTTAAAAAAATATATCAAACAATATATACTCTCAATTTCTTTTGTAAATGATTAAACACTTCCAGCTGACAAATTTGTGTAAATGTAATAGTTTGGACTCTATAAAGGTTTAAAATGACAATGAATTCTGCACTGTCATCTTTATTTAGAGCATTTCAATGTGGTGGTGTCATTGGCCCATGAACTTTTCCTGCTTGTTATCAAACAATTTCATAACTGTAACAAGAGGCAAATCAATCATAACTTATTAAAACAGCTATCCTAGCATTATTTATTAATATGTGGATTCTAGGAAGCTGTAGAAATAAAAAATGTTAAACAGGAAATACGTCGGGGCCATCGTATTTGTTCACATCCCTCAAACTGATCTATAGTATTATAATGTGTCATCAATACATTTGTTTTTACTGAGGTGAAAACCCACTTCATTAGAGATAAACAAATCTTTGCACCGTGATTGATATTCTGTCTATGTTGTGGTCGTTTTGTTTCCCTTTCTCTTGAGGATGTTACTCAGTTATCGGCTGACTTTTTCAGAACTGTGGAGAACTTAGAGGAGTAATCACAGATCTCAGTCTGCCCGCGTCTGAATCATGACTATAATCATAAAAGCTTTTCTCTTGTACGGTTACTGTGACTCTCACAATCCAGGAGGTTTCCTGGAGTGAACAAGATGCCTCAAAGCCAACAAATGACAGAACGATTACTGCAGTTTCCCTTGTACTTATTTGCTTACAATACCATGACACTCGGTTTTTGCTTGATCAGTTTGAAGAAGATTTGTTTAGATTGCAAGTTTTAACTTGGACAATTATGTACACTGTTGCATAAAAGTAAGCAGTGCTACATTTGCATGGGCCAGATATAAAGACATCAAGTATATACTCACTGAAGGATGAAGAGTTCCGGGAGTCCTGGTAATCTCTTGCTGCGATGAGATCCTGATATACTGTCTCTCTCCACAGGGGGACAGCGGTGAGTTTGGAGAACCTGGACTCACAGGAGACAGAGGAGAAAAAGTAAGACATGATTGAGGAGATTTAAACAACATCAAATGGCATTTTAGACACTGTTCGAATGTACAAAGCCTCTACGCTAAAAAATCGAGATTGTTTAAACTGCTTATTTAAAATGAGTTGAAACAACACAATTCTTAAGGATTTTTTAAGACAATTTGATTATTTTATATTTAATCTACCTAATTTTTTTCATTTTGCCTAACACAAATCGATTGTGTGGAACCCAGCATTGTTTACAGTGTAAAGCAGAAGTGTCCAAACTCGGTCCTGGAGGGCCGGTGTCCTGTATATAGCTGCGTCCCAAATAGCACACTATACACTATGCACTCATTCACTATGTACTTATGCACTTACACACTCAACAGGATAGTATATGTATGTAGTGTCGTCCCAAATGGCACACTGTTTTTTTACTAAGCGGAAATTCAAACCGTTTTCCTGATGACGTTTGACGGTTGCTAAATCAGTGAAATAAACGACCGAATTATCAAATAATACCTGCTGTGAGTATTGCCGCATTCACCAACAGGAGGCGCTATAATCACTCTCGTAAGAGAATTTTGCTTTCACTATCCAAAATAAATAAAGTTATTCAACGTGTGCGTCCGATAGCTCCGCCCCTTCCGCTACGTAAGCAAACCTGCGGTCGTTGAGTGCGTGAAGTGTCCATCATTCACACTTCATTTTAGCGGCTGAATGAGTGCATCATCCGGGTAATTAAAGTGCACTTAATATTTTTAGAATTTTCAGTGTGAACACACTACTTACACTATTTATACTACAAAATGACGTAGAATAGTGCATAAGTATGCGATTTGGGACGCAGCTATATTTTAGTTTTTAACCCCAATTAAACACACCTGAAACTGCTAATCAAGCTCTGTCTAGGTCAGTGGTCACCAGACTTGTTCCTGGAGGTCCGGTGTCCTGCAGATTTTAGCTCCAACCTAATCAAACACACCTGAACAGGCAAATCAAGCTCTTACTAGGTATACTTGAAACATCCAGGCAGGTGTGTTGAGGCAAGTTGGAGCTAAATCCTGCAGGGACACCAGCCCTCCAGGACCGAGATTGGTGACCCCTGGTCTAGGTATACTAGAAACTTCCAGACAGGTGTCCTGAAAGAAGTTGGAGCTAAACTATGCAGGACACCGGCCCTCCAGGATAGAGTTTGGACACCCCTGCTGTAAAGGGATTTAGTGGTGGATAGTGGTGTAATGGATCACAAATCTTACGGTTGAGCTCACACAATGGTTTTTAAATCATGGATCGGACCATTTTTCGGATCAGCAAAAAAGAGTGGAGAAAAATGTAATTTGCTTTCCATTAATACAAAAAAATACTGCAAAAAGCCCTTGGTTTTAACAAACAGAACTTAGAACCGGTAGTTTTAATAAAAATAAAAAAGAAGAAAATATGCATTATAAAAAATGATCTTTGCTACAGTTGCTGATAATGCTAAATATAGAAATCTAACATCTTGTACAGCATATCATATTTATTTCCAATTAATGATTCAACAATTCACACATGAAACTTCATGTTTCATTATACTGTAGGTGGATCATTTTCGAAAACCTATTCAGTGACATCATTTTAATGGTTGTTTGTCGCCACCTGTTGGTCACACATTTATGAGCTTATTTGATGCTTTGCTCCTCTGTAAAACTCATGTACACTCTTTGTAACAAATTTATATGATGTTGTTACCCTGACATTAATAAAAAAATAAATAAATAAATAAAACCGGGTAAAAAAAAAAAAAAAAAAAAACCTGTTGGTCACACACTGTAATTGCAACAACATTCACCAGCCTCAAGTTCCATTAAATTGTGATTTTAAACTTTACACCAGAATCATCAGTGTTTATATCTGAACTATAAGCTGTTCTCCCAATACTTCTTTGTTATTTAATTGTAACTCACTGACAACGTGTAAAAACTTAATCAAAACATTAAACGCAGATTTGAATGCAGCGATTCGAAGGATTAATAAACATGCTGATCATTTATAATGCATGTTGCACGGGTTTAAATCGATAACACAATCTTTTAATGTTTAATTGTGCAGCTTTACACTGAATTCATTATTGCAGGCTAAACAAACTGTCAGAAAACACCCAAGAAAGCATTTAGGTAGGTCCCACCATAACTTTTTCCGTCATCATCATATTTTACAATGCTTTCATACATGTGATTTAAATGACGCGGGAGGCGATCTCTCTGCAATTGTTATAAAGTTTGGATTAACCTACAAGTTAAAAAAAAAAAAGTTATTAATTCATGGATCACGTGTGTTCTGAACTGTGGTTGAGATCCATCCAAAAAATTAAAAAATAAAAATAAAAAACGTGTGGGAGAAAAAAAAAAGTTTTGAAAAGTTTTTGTGTTCCTCTAAAAAAATGCAATCGCTCATAAAAAATTTCGTTCTTGAGAGAAGCTCTGCATTACAGAAATTTTTGCATTACACCCCTAGTATTTATGACCACATGTACCCTGAAAAAATTATTAATTGGATTTACTAATTTCTTTTAAGGTAAGTGGTTGCAAACGATTTATATAGGCTGAATTAAAGCAGACAAATTCAATTTAGTAATGTTCAACTTGTTTGTTTAAATTCAGATATAAATTGTTTGCAACCACTTACCTTCAAAGAAATGAGTAAATCCAATATTTTTTGCGTGTGTGTTGGCATCCATGATGAGCAGAAGATCAAATTTAACAAAAAGAAATGTTACTATCAGTGATATTAATATGTGTTTATATTTGGATATTTTTAGGGATCAGATGGTTTACCAGGTCTGGCTGGGAAAAAAGGCGATAAGGGTGAAAGAGTGAGTAACAGCTCATGTTGATGGTGTTTTTGGATCGATACTGTCTGTTAATTTAGCATGTTGATACACAGGGTGATCAAGGAGTTGCTGGTGAAGCTGGGCTGCCTGGACCACTCGGACCAAAGGTTAGACATTAACACTTACAGACAGAGTTACAGTGTTTCTTGATGAGCCCAGGGTCAGAAATTAACCACAAGAGTACATATTTATGCTTACTGCTTATAATGTAATCATTAGAGCTGTCAACATACTCATCGCATCCAAAATAAAAGCTTGTATTTACATAATTTACATACTGTCAAAAGTTTCAGGCCAACATTAAATCTGTTGATTTACTGATGGATATACAGTACAGTATGTGATCCTTTACCACAAAACAAATTATAAGTCAAAATTTTCTTGTCATTTTTAATTTAATTGAGATGTATATAAGGTGAATAAATGAAGGGTAGGAATTTTTTAGGTTTAATTGTTTAAGATAATGTATGAGGGAGGCTGGTTGTCCTGGGGTCCGTTCTTCGTACGTGGATTACTCGGTTAGCTGGATTTGGATATTGACGATTTGACACGATCCAGGATCGTTTCGTTCTTCAAAGCTGATCCGAGAGTTGTTGTCATAGCAACAGTTCTGTTAGCTTAAACCTGATCGGGAGCAGGTTCAATTCATATAAGCAGGATTAAGGATTCATATAAGCACTGATATTTTCTTACAGTTTTATATACACTTGGGAAAATGGTACATATTTTTTAACTATATATATATATATATATATATATATATATATATATATATATATATATATATATATATATATATATATATATATATATATATATATATATATATATATATATATATATATATATATATATATATATATATATATATATATATATATATATATATATATATATATATATATATATATATATATATATATATAAATATA